AGCCTCAGAACAAGAGAGATCAATGGTGCTACCCTAGTCGGAGACCAAAGGCTTCTGAAAACTCCTTGTAGACTCATTGGCAGCATCCAGTTTGGAAGAGTGAAGAATGGAGGGTCTGATGTCCTCAGGCGATTGCAGAAGCAATGAACAACTGGTTCAAGAAGAATCAAGCTTGCATCTGCTGCTGCTTCCTGCCTTGGCCTCTTGAGTTTCTGGATTTACAGGTGTGCACCAGTGTACCTGGCTACTTATCTCTTTAAAATTGAGGTCTTTTTTAATTTAAATGAATAAATTTTAAAAGGAAACTTTATATACAACTATAAATGGAAAAATCGCATCAATAGTGTCCCTAAAATTAAAAAGATAACTCCCAAATCAAATGTTTTTGAAGATTTTGTAGCGTTTTATTATAAAATATTTCAAATATTCAGTAAAGGTGAGCTTTATAGAGAACACCTGTAGAGCCATGACCTAGATTCCACCCTAAACTTATTTACTCCCTTGACACACCCTCCATCTTTCCATGCTCCTCTCCCCTTATTGGTCCATCTACTCCATCTACTTTTTGGTGCATTTCACAGCAAATTACACACACCAGAACTCTTCCCTAAATGTTTTGAAATGCATACTATTAACTTGAGTTGGATGTTTACTTTAAAGTTTCTTCTTTTGCTACAAATTTATATTCAATGAAATTCATATACAATGAAATGCACTGTCTTTTCTTTTTTCTTTCTTTCTTTCAGTACCAGGGATTGAACCCAGGGCCTTGCACGTGATAGGCAACCACTCTACCACTGAGCTATACCCCTAGCCCTGGAATCCACAAATCTTAAGTGTATGTTTGCTGAGTTTTGACAAATGCTCATAACAATTCCTCTTAAGACAGAAATTAGCCAGGTGTGGTGGTGTCCCCCTGTAATACCAGTGACTTGTGAGGCTGAGGCAGGAGGATTGCAAATTTGAAGCCAGACTCAGCAACTTAGCAAGGCCCTAAGGAACTTAGCAAGACTATGTCTCAAAATAAAATAAAATAAAAGGGCTGGGAGTGTGGCTCAGTGGTTAAGCATTCCTGATTCAATCCCTGGTACCAAATGGAAAAAGGAAAAAAAATAATGAAAGATACAGAAATTGCCATCAGCTCAGTAAGTTTCCTCCTGCTCCATCTCAAGTCCAGGCAGCCGTATCTGATTTTTGTCACTATGGATCACTTTTGTCTAGAATTTCATACAGATGGAACTGTACAGTGTGTACTCTTTTGTGTTTGCCTGCTTCCACATGGAGACATGCTTTTGAGACTGAATCACCTCCCGGCCTGCATCAGTCATTTGTTTATCATTGAGTTGTTCGGATTCCACTGTATGACGCTGCTGTATTTGGTCTCCATTCTCCTATTGATGGATCCCGGAGCTGTTTCTAATTTGGGGTTAGTATGAATAAAGATACTACAAGTAACTCTCTTTGTGAATCTGTTTTTGTTTTTCTTGGTGCTATAGCTTGGATCTTTAATGTCCCCAAAGGCCCATGAGTTGAAGGCTTGGTTGCCAGCTTGTACGGGAACTTTGAGGAGGTGGGTCCTAGTGGAAAGAAGTGAGGTCACTGGGGTGGGCCCCTGAGAGCACCCTGCCCCCTTCCTGTCTCTTTTCTTCCTGGCCAGGAGGTAGATAGCTCCTCCTCCGTGGGCTCCTGCCATAATGTGCTGTGCTGCCACAGACTCAAAGCAACAGGCCAGGAGACCCTGGGCTGAAACCCACAATATTCCTGTCCTCTTAAGTTGATTTATCTCAGGTAATCATTACAGCAGTCAAAAGCTGACTGCCAGATTCAGGTAGATACTTAGAGCTGAGTCAAATTGCAGGGTCATTGTCTAGTTTAAAAGAAACTGCCAGAACCATTTCACATTCCCGCCGACAGTGGATGAGAGGTCCAGTTGCCCGCCACCTTGCCAACAATTGGTATTGTCAGTGTAGGTTTTAGCTGTTCTGATGGGTGTGTCGTGGTGCCTTGTTGGGATTTTAATTTGCATTTACCTGATGACTAATGATGCTGAATATTTTTCACGTGCTTATTCACCATTCATATGTCCTCTTTCATGGAGTACCTGCCCATTTTTAAATTCAGTTGTTATGATTTTATTGAATTGTGAGGATTCTTTATGTATCCTGCATACCAGTCCTTTACCAGATATATGTTTGCAAAATTTTTACCTAACCCATGGTTTGTCTGTTGTTCTGTTGGTTTCTTTCTTTCTTTCCTTTCTTTATTTTTTTTTTTAGCTATAGATGGACACAATATCTTTATTTTTACTTATTTTTATGTGGTGCTGAGGATGGAACCCAGTACCTCACGCATGCGAGGCAAGTCCTCTACCGCTGAGCCACAACCCCAGCCCTTGTGGTTTTCTTTTCTTTTTTTAAAATATTTATTTATTTTTACTTGTAATTGAACACATTTCCTATATTTTATTTATTTTTATGTGGTGCTGAGGATTGATCTTAGCGCCTCGCATGTGCTAGGCGAGCACTCTACCACTGAACCCCAACCCCAGCCCCTGTTTTCTTAACAATATATTTTGAAGAGCCAAAGTTTTAAAGCTTGATAAAGTCCATCAGTTGCTTTTGTTTTTTCCTTTTATGTTTGTTACTTTTTGTGACCCAGCCCTTCTTATCCCCAAGTTATAAAGATATCTTCATATCTCAAGTGAATTTTTGGGGTATTGTGTGAGTTTGTTTTTTTTTCCTGATATAGATACCCAGTTATTCCAACATCATTTAATTTAGAAACTTCTCTTCCGGGGTTGGGGTTGTGGCTCAGTGGTAGAGTGCTCGCCTAGAACACGTGAGGCACTGGGTTCGATCCTCAGCGCCACATAAATATAAAATACAGATATTGTGTCAACCTAAAACTAAAAAATAAATTTTAAAAAAACTTCATACTGGATTGCTTGGCATCTTTGTCAAAAACTATTATCTGAAACTGTAAAAACAAATATCAAATAACAATAAAAGTGTTATTAAATTTAAAAAAATTTAAATAAGATGTTTCCATGAAAATTAAGTGTAAGTAAGAGCAATCTAGTTGAGTCACAGGAATTCATATATAAAAGTTCCTAGTAAGTTGGGCTTGGTGGTATGCTCCCGTGGCCCCGTCTACCTGGGAGTCAGGGGAAGGAGCATCACTTGAATCCAGGAGTCCAAGGTCAGCCTGGACAACAGAGTAAGACCCCCATCTCAGAGAAACAATTCCTCACTGAGGAAAATGGGCTTGACCGTGGCTGGAGTATATTAAAGGAGACTCTGGGACATTCAAGATGGTGGACCAGAGGAAGGCTGCGTTCCTGGTCCCTCTGTGCTTGAAAAGCAGCGGGAGTGCTGCCTCTCACCGAGGTGAGGCCACACTTTGAAGTACCAGAGACGTCAGCCACCCACGTACCCACCCACGTACAGATGTGTGCCCGACCAGGTAAGGGCTCAGACATGAAGGAGGACCTCGTAGATCATAGAGCCCTAGGAGCATGCTCAAACTGTAAGAACAAACCAGCCAACACACAGAAATGGGGAAAATATGAAACGTTTGCTGTTCTCAGCCACGAGGCTTTGAGGTGGTTTGCTATGGATCAAAAAGTAACTGAACAGGGCTGGGGATGTGGCTCAAGCGGTAGCGCGCTCGCCTGGCATGCATGCGGCCCGGGTTCGATCCTCAGCACCACATACCAACAAGGATGTTGTGTCCGTCGAGAACTGAAAAATAAATATTAAAAATTCTCTCTCTCTCTCTCTCTCTCTCTCTCTCTCTCTCTCCTCTCTCTTAAAAAAAAAAAAAAAAAAAAGTAACTGAACAAAGAAAACCCTGAAGTGACGTACATCTGGTATTGAAGGCCTGCCACAGAAGGCAAACCCCCTTTAGGGTGTGATTGCACCTATTATCAAATGCATGAATGATTACCCTTATTATGACATAAAATAATAATCAATGTATATGATAAAAATAAAAGGAGAGACTCCATTTAATATTGTTTGCATCTAAAATGAAGATAGATTCTCCATCAAAATGCAATTCTCTCTTTAAGCCTTGATCTTAGCCAGCACTGGCAACGCCAAAGCCATATGTATGTAGGTGGAAAAGGCAAAAGATTTTAATTGCCTCCTCTAATACAAGTATTAATCCATTTGTCACATAAAAAATTGTTGTCAGGGGGCTGGGGTGGTGGCTCAGAAGTAGAGTGCTCGCCTAGAACTGAGTTTGATCCTCAGTACCCGATAAAAATTAAAAAAAATAAAGATACTGTGTCCACCTATAGCTAAAAATAAATTTTTTTTTTTAAATTGTCGTCAAAGCCAGGAGCAGCCGTGCACACTTATAATCCCAGCTACTTGGGAGACTGAAGCAGGAGGATTGCTAATTTGAGGCCTGCCTGGACAATTTAGGGAGACATCATCTCAAAATAAAAATAAAAAGGGCTGGGGGGACAGATCAGTGGTCCCTCCCTAGTACAAAAAAAAAAAAAAAAAGGGGTTGTCAAGGTCTAAAAGTAATGTTTCCGTGATAAATATGTAAATTCATTGATCAGAAGTCCACACCAGAGATCCCGCCATTCACACCACTCATGACAACGCGGCGGGAGGCTCAGGGCTGGGATCCTGGGTGGCATGGTGCTCTGGTCAGTGTCAGGAAGGCCGCCAAGACGAGGCCTCCTTATCCTGCCTCTGCCCCGCGAGGCCTCCTTTCCCAGCACCGATAACCGTGTGAAGTGCTCACCGCGTGTGAAGGGCGCTTCTAATTGATCTCGTTTACTTCTCATAATGAAAAGAAACAGAGGTGCCAGGAAGTGGAGAAGTGGCTCGGCTTGCCCAAGGCGGCTAGTGGGGGTGTGGGACGAAGCCGGACGGTTCCATGTCCCTCAGGCCCCTGTCTGTGTTGCCTTCTCATAAGCAAAGGCCTTTGGTGTGCTGGTCAGATGAGACACGTGTGTCCCTTACTCAGCAAATAAGACACATAACTTCAAATTTTTAAAAAGTTGTTTGCCTCTAACCCTCTTGAGCACATGCCCTCTTTGGGAACACTGCATGGCTCTCTTGGGCCTGCTGCCTGCCTCCTGCCCATCAGCTTTCCTTCAAGGCCACCATCCCAGGCCACAGCAGCCACAGTCCTCTGAGCTCTGCGCTCCTGCTGGACCACAGGACGAGCCCCTCCTGTCCCTCGTGGTGGTAGCCACACTTCCACTTATTAAATGTGGCCTTCAGCTATCAAAACAAAAAGGGGCACTCCCTGGGCATTTCCTCCAAGAACTGTCACAGACAGAGCAGGAAGGGACTCTCAGACCTGGGCTTCAGAACGCGAGTCCCGCAGGCCTCTGGGAAAGGCCTTCCAGGTGGAGGGAGTTGTCTAGCAAAGGCAAGGAGGGGGAGTTCCAGGCGCCTGGAGAGTGTTGAATGTCTGTCCCATGAGGCCAGAGCGCGGGCATCTGGTGGCAACGGCTTAGCTGAGGCTTGGAAGGGGGACGGCAGATTTCATGGGTTGCGCTGACTTTTACACTTCATGCTAAAGTAAAATAATCCTGCTAGTCGGTTTTCCATCCCTAGAACAAAACAACGGTGACAATTAACTTACAAAGAGAAAAATTATATCGACTCACAGTTTCAGAGGTTCTAATCCAAGATCGGGCAGACCTATTGCCCAACGGGGGAGTTGGGTGACAACCGCAGGAACGTGTGGCGGAGCACACTGCTCACCTTCTCATGACCAGGAAGCAAAACAGAATGAGGAAGGGTTCATTGTTCCACAGTCCCCTACAAGGACACCCTCAATGACCTCAGGACCTCCCACGAAGGCCCTCTTCGTACAGGTCCACAGCACCTTCAATAGCATCACCGCGGGGACCAGGGCTTTAACACATTGACATTTGTGGGTGGAGGGCACTCAACATGCAAACTGTAGGAATAAAGATATTTAAAAATGATGGTGCCTCGGGCTGAGGTATAGCTCAGTGGTAGAGCACTTGCCTAGCACTCACCAGGTCCTGGGTTTGAGCCCCAGCACTGCCTAATCAATCAACGAATCAATCAATAAGTAAATAAAATTATACTTAAAAGTCAGGATTGGTGGGCTGGGACTGGGGCTCAGTGGAAGAGCGCTCGCCTGGCACATGTGAGGCCCTGGGTTCCATCCTCAGCACCACATAAAAATAAAAAAATATATTGTATCCAACTACGTTTAAAAAAAAAAAGTCAGGATTGGCTGAGTCGTACCGTGGTGACAACCCCAGATCTGGGTAGCCCTCACGGACACAAGTCTCTTCTTTCCCGCATGTATCATCATCGAGGGCTAATGTGGGCTCAGCATGACATCTCTGCTGTCCCCAATCCAGGCCTCACCTTGGCAGAGCAGCTACATCTGGACTGCCCCAGGTCCCAGTAGCAGGTGTCAGTCTGTCCAGCCTGTGTCTTGGTCCCTTTTCTCTTCTGAAGCTACGTCAGAACACTACAGTCTGGGTAAGTCGAAGATATCGGAAGTCCCCTGGCTCACGGCTCTGGAGACTGAGTCCAGGAGCACAATGCCAGCCCCTGGCCAGGCCCTTGGGGCTGGGTCATGCCATGGCAGAGGGCAGGTGAGCACTGGAGCCAGGGAGGGAGTGGTCAGCTAGAAAGCCACTAGTGCCCCACCCTTACCCCCCATCCAGCCCTAATTGCTCCCTCCTCCAAGTGCCACCAACATGCACTGGGGACTAAGCGTTCAACACAAGGATCTTTGGGGATGCGCTCCATCTGTAGGGGGCTGCCATAGCACCACAGACTGTGGCTTAAACAACAGCGGTCACTTTTCCCACAGCTCTGAGGACCGGCAAGTCCAAGGGCAAGGCCGCTGCCGGGCTGGGTTTCTGGCTTGCCAGGGCCACCTTGTTGCCGTCTTCCCATGATGGAGAGGGAGAAAGAGGGGGATGTCTGCTGTCTCTTTCTCTTTTATAAGGATACTGTCCTCACCCTTATGAATTCATTTGACCAAAATCAGCTCCTTAAAGACCGACCCTCCAGGACAGTCACACCACGGGGCTTCAACCTACCCACTGGGGGTGGGGGCTACAGTTCAGGCCATAGCAAGAGGAAAACGAGTCCTGGACGGTCACACCATGGCAGTTATATGCTCATCTTACAAGTGACACCTTTCATTACCACACACAGCTCATTGCCAGAGCTAGTGACACAGCCCAAGGAATCTAGGAAGCACAGGTCACCCCACACCCCGTGGTAGAGACTCAGAAACACGGGTAACTGTGCTGATCTCCACCACCGTAATGACAAATATTTCTGAACCTTTCCTATATGCAGGCACCACCCGTGGGCCGGGCCCTGAGGACCAACCAGCTTTTAAATGAGGAAATGGCATCGTCAGATCTGCGTGACCAGAAGCGAAGCTCAATGATGGGAAGACGGAGGCCACCAGCACTGAGCTTTGTCCCCCCTCACTAACGTTCTGTGTGGCCCTAAGCAAGCCTCTTTCCATCTCTGAGCTCCAGTGTCTACATTTGCAAAATGAAGACAATCTCTCAGCACACCTAATCTACAGAGCACGTCCAACTGACCTGGCATCGTATGGGAGCCAGGCTTGCAGGCTTTGGAATCAGCCAGGCCTGGGTTTGAATCCCACGCTGCTGCTTTTTACTTCTGTGGTCTGGGCAGGTGGGCGGTTGGGCGTGAAGCACTTACCATGTGTGCCAAGTATATATTATGTGGAATCGACGGGGACTGGCGCCCAGGCAGGTCTGCCTCTCATCAACCAGCTTGTACAGTATGTCACCTGCGTGGCCCCTGGGCCAGCTCAGAGAGATCATTTATGTCTAACATGCTCCTATGGCAAGTTCCACTTGGGAAAGGACTGTGTCGTGTTCCATGCTGTCCCCTGCTTTAGCATGGTTCCTGGAAGATAGTTGGTGCTCACTGAATGCTAATTTAATGGACTAGTGGATGAATGTGGGTAGAGACTCTTCCCAGAGCTGCCTCTGCTGGTATCCGGGACCGTGTCAGTCTGTCCCTAATGGAGGTTGTTTATGTGGCCCATTAAGTAAAGGGGCATTTTGTGGGATGTCCTCTAACACCCCAAGCTCTCTAGATGTTTCCTTTCCTGCTGTGTGTGACCCAGCTCCTGTCTTTCTATTAGGGAGCTGAACCGGTCACTTAGGCCAGACGATGATAATAGTGACAACCCCAAGTCTCAGTGGCAACAAAACCAGGTTGCCCTCTCCCTGTGCCAAGGCCAGTGTGAACTGGGCAGCTCTTGAGGACTGCTCCTGCACATGGTGACTCAGGAGTCAATGTGGGGGGCTTGGCAGCTGCCACCAAAAAGGGTGAGACATGTGACACTGTCATTTTGCACATTCCTTTGGCCAGAGCTGGTCACGTGGCCTTGCTGAACTGCAAGGAGCCTGGGAAGCACGGTTCTCGCTAGCACTTGTCCAGGAAGAGGGACGCTGATCCAGCTGAGCCCTGGAATTCCTACCACAGCCCGCTCTCCTGTCTCCAACCCTGCCTTTGACTCACTCTGCTTTCTACCCATGATGCATAGGGGCCCTTCCCAAGAAGAGCCAAGGGGATGGGAAGCTCCAGCCTCCAGCCCAGGGTCTCTCCAGCCCAGGGTCTCTCCAGCCCAGGGTCTCTCCAGCCCAGGGTCTCTCCAGCCCAGGGTCTCCTCCAGCCCAGGGTCTCCTCCAACCCAGGGTCGCCCAGGGTCTCCCAGGTCTCGGGAGCTTAAGCAGCAGGCTGATCGCTCATGTTTGTGAGTGCGTGGAGCTCTCTCTAGCGGGTCCAGATGTGTCCCCTCTTTTTTTTTTTGACGGGGGGTGGGGAGGCACTGGGGATTGAACTCAGGGGCACTTGACCACGGAGCCACCTCCCCAGCCCTATTTTGTATTTTATTAAGAGACAGAGTCTCACTGAGTTGCTTAGCACCTCGCTTTTGCTGAGGCTGCTTTTGAACTCGTGATCCTCCTGCCTCAGCCTCCTGAGCCACTGGGATTACAGGTATGTGCCAACGCGCCCAGCCAGATGTGTCCCCTCTAGATCCAGAGATGTATCCACTTAAAAGGCAGGTGGCCAACTCTGCCCACACTCAGCACACCAAGGCAGAGACCGGATAACCTGGGTAACCGCACCCCCGGGAGGTGGCCAGCAGGCTCTGGTCTGGATTCTGCCGGCCACACTTGGTGGGGAGGGAGGTCCTGTCTGCTCGAGGTGTGCCCCATCACCCAGAGGTGCTTCCTTTCCCATGACCCTCCCTGCCCACACCTGAATTGCGCATGGTGGGCTCTGCCTCCAGGAGAGCGAGGTGGGCGCCTCAGTCCACTTACTGCCCGTGTAAGTTGTAAGTCTCAGTCACAGACTTTAAAAGACCTGGCTCATCATTTTCTTTCCATGACTATTCTCAAAACTTTAGGAGGCTTCTCATCTGTCTGCTTCTAGTAAGCTCCCTATGTCAGAGCGTGCTGGTTGATTTTCTGTGTCAACTTGACTGGGCCATGGGGTGCTCAGATATTTGATCAACTCTCATTCAGGTATTTCTGTGGGGGTATGTTGAGATGAGATTAACATTTAAATTGGCAAACGAATAAAGCCTTCCCTGATGTGGGTGGGGCTCATTCAATTGGTTGAAGACCTGAATAGAGCAGAAAGTCTGACCTTGCTCTCAGTAGAGGGAATTTCTCTTATTAGCTTTTTTTTTTTTATACCAAGGATTGAACTCAGGGGTCCTTAACCACTGAGCCACATCCCCAGCCCTTTTTTAATTTGAGACAGTTCTTACTAAGTTTCTTAGGGCCTCACTAAGTTGCAGAGGTTGGCTTTGAACTTGCTATCCTCCTGTCTCAGCCTCTGGAGCTGCTGGGATCACAGGCAAGCACCACTGCACCCGGCGCATCTGTCCGCCTTTGAGGTAGCGCATCGGCCCTTTTCCTGCCTTCAGATGCAAACTGACACATTAGCTCTTCTGGACCTCGAGCCTGCTGGCTTTCAGACGGGCTACGCTATCAGCTCCACCGATTCTCAGGCCTTTGGATTTAGACTAGAAGTAAGCCATCAGATCCCCTGGTTTTCAGCTGACCAACCGATTCACTCCGAAGATCATGAAGCTCTTGGGACTTGCCAGCCTCCAGAATTGTACAAGTCAATTCCTTACAATGAACCAATAAGTCAGCATGTGTGTGCGTGTGCGTGCGTGCGTGCGTGCGTGCATGCGTGTGTGTGTGTGTGTGTGTGTGTGTGTGTGTGTGTGTGGTGTACGGTATTGGTGATTTCTTTCCAGGATGCTAATATAAAGAAACCGCATCCTAATTTCTTTCCCAAGAGGTTCTAAAATCCTCGTTGCTTTGCTTATTCCACAGCAACAAACAAAACTCCAAAACACACCTCAGGCGCACAGCAGCAGGCTTCTGTCTCGCAGGCCAAGCGAGGCAGGAAAAAGAGCTTTCCAGGGCACCGACTCCATGCGGTGGCTGGGTGGCCAGGCTGCTCCATCTTTTCTTCCGTCCTCATGGGGTCTCTGTCCACAGAGTGGGAACCTCACACCCACCCCTGACCACCTCCCAGCATGTGGGCCAGAACTAGCCAGGTGGCCCTCAGGCTGGCAAACCTCGTGATAATAACCTTCAACATTTCTTGAGTGCTTTCTGAGCGGCAGGCTGCGCGTGTCCGTCTCCTCCGCATCCTCCTCCCAACTATAACTAACTGTCCCGGAGCCCATCACCCAGCCAAGGAAACAGGCTGAGGCCAGCTGAGGAAGTGTCCAGAGGACACACGCCTCACAAAGGCAGGGGTGGGACCTCTGTGCTTCCGGACCCCTCCTCTGACCCTGCCCCGGGTTTCTGGCTGCTAAGCATGTCTCCGTGTCACCTGAGGATGGGGATGAGCTCTGGTTTTCTGCCCACCTCACTCCATCTTCTACACAAGTCATGACATTTTCAAATCTTGTGCAAGATCAACAAGTTCACCCAGAGGAGACCGTGAAAGTAACAGGCAGAGACAGAACAGCCATCAAGCCAGCCCAATAAGATGGCCATACCCACGGAAGGGAGATGAACTACAGGAAGCTGGGCCAGGATGGTGGGAGCGGGGACAGAGACAGACAGAGGAGAGGGACAGGGAAAGAGAATGGACTTAGACCATCAGGCTGGGGCGATTTCAGTTCCTGGTGGTGACATCACAGTGAATAGAGCCCGCGAAGCACTTTTTAGAGGCCCCAGGCCTGGTAGCCCCCACCTCACTAAGGCTCGCTAATCCCAGTGGGGAACAGCAGGGCGCCCAGACGTCTCCTGGCCCTGACCACTCCCTGATCTGTCCACCCATTATCACATCACCCACCGCTCCCAGGGCCCCACCATGCGGCCATAACCCTGAGTATCTTCTTGGCGACCTCATTTCACTCACACCGGCCCAGGGGCAGCCGTCCCCATTATCACGGGGAGGCGAGGTGCCAGGAAACAGCCCCAGTCCGTGCTTCTCACATGAGCCCCTTAGGCCATGCGCAGCTTTAAAGTGCTCCCCCGGAGGGTCAGCTGAGCAGCCAAGAGCTGGGTGGTCACAAGAAGAGGTCCCTGGCCTGGGCTAGGGTTGTCAGGTGACCTCAGAAGAATCTGGGATGGGAAACCATGTTCCCATCGGCAGCACGAAGGGTATGATGTACTCTGTCCCAAGGACACTCGTGTTCTCCACAAATACTGCTGGCGGCTGGGCTGGGAGGAACTGCCCCGGCAGGTCCCTCCTGTCCCAGAAGGCCAGGCTGAGTGTGGGCTGTGGGCTGGGTAAGCAGATCCCCCTCCACACTCCTCTGTAACAGGCGAGAGAAGGACCTTGGGAGGGGATAGGCTGGGTCCCGCTATCTCACAGATTGTGTGGGGTAGGGAGACAGACAGGGAGCCAACCCTCATTTCAAGGCCAAAAAACACAACCCAAACTAAAATAAGCCAAATCCTATTCTGGCTCAACTGAATCTCTTCAAAAATAGCAGGACCAGAGAGGGGTTGTTAGTTAAGAAAGGTCACAAGGGGCTGGGGTTGTGGCTCAGTGGTAGCATAGCATGTGTGAGCCACTGAGTTCAATTCTCAGCACCACATATAAATAAATAAAAGTAAAGGTCCATCAACAACTAAAAAAAAACCCTAAAATCTTTAAATTAAACAGAAATGCTAGAGAATAAAGTCTTTAAAAAAGAAAGAAAAAGAAAAGACAGGTCCTACAGCACTATCTGTGCCAGAGCTAGACCTCAAACCAAAGTTCTAGAAGAGGCTCAGAAAGATGACATCAGCTCGCCCAGCACATGAGCATCTAGGCTGTTTCTGGGTCAAGACCTGATCCTGTCCAATCCCCACCTCATCCCCCCATTCCCTCCTTTCGGGGGGGGGGAGGGCGCACCTGAAGCCAGTAAAAAAATTCTCTTTGTGCTTGCTCCAATCTCAAAAGCCTGAGTATAATGAAGGCCCCTCACCACCAGCCTCCTGGTCCCCACTCTCCAGCTGCATCCAGGGCCCGCTTCCCATTCTCAATCATCTCAGCCGATGTGGAGGATTTCAAATCTTTTCTTCTATGGATTTTTGGCCCAGCAGTGACTGGTACAGATCAAGGAGCTAGGAATGGGAGAGATCACAGGAAGGAGGAGGTTTATTTTTTTAAGGATTTAAAAAAACTGTCATCGAAGGTCAAATTTTGAAAACAGCTAGGAGAACCTTCGGCTTAACTTGTGAAGCCACATCAAAGTGGTCAGCAACATGGCCTTTGGAGCCAGGATGCCTGGTTCAAATAGCGGCCCCTCCTCTTACTAGCTGTGCCATCCTGGACAAGTCACACAGTCTCTCTGTGTCTTAGTTCCTTCATCCGTAAGATGGAGATGCTGGTCCTCCCCACCACATGGGAGTGTAGAGATTTAAGTGTGGGAAGTGCTTGGACAGTGCCTGGCACCCGGTAAGCCTGAGAGAGCCTGCTGTTACCGACATCCTGTGATGCTTCACTGAACGCCTCTTGGGACAGGGAACTCACTTCCCCAAGGGCAGCCTATTCTGGGTTTGGTGTGTTAGGAAGCTTTTCCCTCCATTAAGCTGACCTATCTCTTTTGGATGAGAGCCCCAGTTCTGCCCTCTGAGACGGCCATAAAGATAAACATCAGCCAAAGCAAAACAACATGCGCTTGGGGGGTGATCTCTCATCTGCTCCAGTTCCTCATCCTTAGGGGCCCGCAGCCCACACAGCCCAGAGTCCAGAGCATAGACATCGGTGTCAGTTCAGGACTCGGGGTGGTACATTCTGGCCTTGGAGAGCCTGACCCCATTTGTCCCATCTAAGGAGGTCTATGAGCCTGAGTGCCCAAGATGTCCCCTCACTGGGTCCCTAAGCTTTGACCCCAGGCTTCAGAGGGGAGGCGGAGGCTGGTGTGTTAGCCCATCTTCTTACACGGGAAAAGGGAAGGAGCTGGTCTGTCTGGCCAGCGCAGCCCATCTCTTTGGAAAATCACTGAGCTGGACCAAGTGGCGTTAGAGCTCTCTGCGGCTGTCCCTGCACTTTGCAGAGAGCTTGCCAGCCTGTCCCCGCAGGCCCGGCACAAATTCCCCGAGTGCAAGTTGGGTGTGGACCCAGCTCCACTCCTTCCCACCTGCAGGCCTCAGGCTGTTTCCCCACAGGTAAGGAGGTCGTAATCACAATAACCTCGTAGTGAAAAGCCGCACATTTGACACAGAGGAAGAGTTTCATAAGTGGGGACAGTTATGGGAAGGCAGTGACATGCGGTGGGCCCCGATTTCCCAACTTACACTCAGATCTGGAAGGATTGTGGGTAGTCTGTACCTTCACTGTACAGACAGAACCCAGGCCCATAGGTGAGAAGCCCCCAAATCACCCAGCAACTTGGTTACTGCTAGGACCTGTCCAGGTGGGCAGCCCCGAGGCTCCTGCTCCCCGGGGGCTCCGGCCCTGCCCCTTCTGCTTGGTGAGTTGAGTGGGGCTGAGCGCTGCGACCCGGGCCACCAGCCGCCCCGCCCCCTCCTGGAGCCCCGCCCCGAGCCCCACCCCCGCCTTATCAGGGCTACACCTGCGGCATAGCCTGCAGTTCCGAATTATGGTCGCTAGGTGTCGCCACACAGCTAAAAACCACAGGCCGCGGGGACTACCGGCCGCTGCCGGACCGCAGCAGAGCGCAGACCCAGCGGGCAGCCCCCTCCTTGAACCCCTGCCCAAGCCCTTGGTCAGCTCCAGCAGCCCAAGACGCCCTAAGGAAAATTTATTGTCTGCTCCTTCGGCCCTGCTAAAACGAGACATGGCCGCAGCCTCCGTGGGGCTGATTCTCCCTGCGGAGCCAGCCTCTCCATCCTCCAGCCTCATAAGACCAGTCACCTCCCAGCACAGGGTCCCCCACTGTGCACCTTGCTGGCTTTCCCTGCTCTCCACCTGTGCATGTCTCCTACTGCCGGACTCTATGCCTAGGGCATTTCAAATCCGCCAGTGACCCTGCCAAGTAGGCTTGTTAAGCTCTGTCTGCATGTGCCCAGAGACAAAAAAAACCCCTGCAGCACAAGCAGGTTTTGAGCTCAGGCTTTGGAGTCGGACACTGTGTCTGGGATCCCCGTAGCCTGTGAGTTCCCTGATGGCAAGACCCTGTCTATAACCCATGGGCCCAACTCTGCCTTGCAGGCAGGGAGCCCCGGGACTGCTTCCTCCTAGGGCCTGTCCCTAACTCTTAGATGGCATTCACCATGTGCAGGTGCTGGGCAGATACTTCATCTTGTGGCTGAGGAGGGCGTACAAGGGGATTGAACTCAGGGGCACTCGACCACGGAGCCACATCCCCAGCCCTATTCTATATCTTATTTTGAGACAAGGTCTCACTGAGTTGCTTAGGGCTTCGCTGTTGCTGAGGCTGGCTGTGAACTCTTGATTCTCCTGCCTCAGCCTCCTGAGCCCTGGGATTACAGGTGTTTGCCACTGCAACCGGCTAGGTGCTTCATTAGTGCTGCAAACTGAAGGTGGATACCATTATTACTCTCATTCTCCAGAATGGGAAACTGAGGCACAACCTGCACCAATACTACATTGATAGAGATTGAAGTTACAATATAATGAATTATACTAAAAATAAAGGTAAGACATACTTAAGACTCCTGGCTTCCTAATTATGTCAGCACATTTTTTTAATATTTGTGCCTTCAAGGTTGCTCACGTCTGTTGGATCTGTAAGGCAGAAATACTGTGCGGTGTTGAGACCGCTTTGCAAGCCCTGGTTCAATGGCATCACATTAGTGGTTTGAAAGTAGCCACGGTGGAAGTATTTACACCCCAGAAGTTATCAGCAAATGTTACAAATCAGCGCCTTCTCCTCCCCTCCCAGAGATCTAATTGTGACAACATTTGTAAGCCTGCGTGCCAACTTGAGGCGAGGGCCGTCACGAGCCATGGAGCCATGGAGCTGTGAAACGCTCTGTTTGAACCCCGGTGGGCAGGAAGGTTGTTATTACCTCCATTCACCTCAGCCAGGTGCTGAATCCATGTGCTCATTAATCTGCCAACAGCTCGGGGGAAGTGGGTACAGTCACATTCTTGGTGAAGACGGGGAAGTGGGGGCGTCAGGAGGATAATAAGCGCCTCATCAAAGTTGACAGATCGGGTTTGAACCACACTTTTAAACGGCTGCTGTGGTTTGTGGGCCTTACGGTAAGTACCCAGTTCACAGGGTGGTTCGGGGGACTGCACGAGGTAATGTGTATCAAAGGGCTTAGCCCAGACTTGGCTTCCAGCAGAACATAGTAAACATTAATTTACTGAGAAGCGTAAGGAGTGGGATCCAGATCCACCTACACCTGATTCTCAACCGCATTATTTTCTGATTGTGAGATCTCCGGCCCGTCAAGCAGCTGTGTGCGTCTAAGCCTCCTGTTCCCCCTGTGAAAATAGGGTAATAATAGCCCTAGAAGAGCATGGAGGATGGAGATAAAGGATGTAAAGTGTCTGGCCAGAAGTGGGCACTCAATAATGGGAGTGATTGTTCGGGATTATCTTTTAGTTCTTGTCACTCAGACAGCAACTCATCCCGGCCTTGTGCAGCAGGCTGGAGGTGGGGCCCTGAGCTCTGCTCAGCTCCTGGCCTTCTCCTCCTGGCCAAGTCAGCCCCTCAGTGGGCCCTGGCCCTAGAAGGGCTTCAGAGGCGTGGGAACACTGTTGCCAGGCACCGGTTGCTAGGAAACCCTCTGTTACTCCTGGCTTGGCCAACTCCAGGAGGGCCCAGCCTCTCTGCAGCGGCTCCTGCCTCCTGTGGCCTCTGTGGACCTCAGAACCACTGTGAAGGGCAGGTGAGGGTGGGGCCCACTACTGCTCACCCCAGGAGAGCAGGGCCAACTTCCAGTGGATGGTGGGCAAGGCCAGGGAGCTGAAGGGGAGCCAAGGAGGTAGGTGGGCCTGGCGGTGAGTGTCGGAGCTGGGGTGGCCCAGGATTCCCGCACATGAGGGATGACTTCAGGGGCCTGGAGTCACAAGCCCAGGTCTGAATCCTGGCTCGGCCACCGACTATGGCCAAATCCCTCATTACTTAGAACGGGTTTCCCGGCTTGTAAGATGGGAATAGGAAGAGTTAATCATTAGGTGTTGGGAAGATGAAGCAGGGAACCAGTAACCAGGAGATAAGAGCCGATGAGCTCTGCTCTTTCTCCATTTGGGGTGTGGGTGTCAGAGGGAGGTTGAGGCCCGGGAGAAGGGGCCAGCTCTGGGGGCTTGACTGTCTTCCCGGTCTGGACTGGGGACTGACAAGGGTCTCCTGTGTCCCTCCCTAGGCCCTCAGGGGCCCTGCCCTACAGCATCATGATGGGAAAACTCCCTTTGGGGGTTGTGTCTCCTTATGTGAAGATGAGCTCGGGGGGCTGCACGGACCCCCTGAAATTCTATGCCACCAGTTACTGCACAGCCTATGGTGAGTGCAGGAGGCCCTCCAGGACAGTGGGGAGGAAGGCAGGGGTCCTCAAAGAGAGGAACGGCCCGTGGGCGAGGCACACTGCAGCCACCCTCTATCCTGAATCCATCCCTCCCCTGAACCCTCCGAGGACCCTTCCTGGTCCTTCTGACAGTGTGATTCTGCCGCCCTGCCCTGGCCCCACCCCATTTGCTGTTCTTGCAGACCTGAAGGGCCAGCTTCGGTCACACTGGGACTTCCCCTGTCACAGTGACCCTGGGCTCCTGGGGGATGCTATACTGGTCCTGCCTAGGAGCCCTGCCGGCTCCTCCTCCCCCACTCTGCTGACCCGCAGTCCCGTCTCTCATCCACCTCGGCAGGTCGGGAGGAATTTAAGCCCCGGATGGGCAGCCACGTAGGCACTGGCTACAAGTCAAACTACCGGCCTGTGGTCTCCTACCAGCCCCACCTGGACACCCTGGACAGCCCCGCCATGGGGTACGTCGGCTCCACTCCCTCTCCCACTCCTGCCCGGCTGGACTCAGCTCTTGGGAATGTCAGAGCAAATCGAACCACTCGGGCCTCCCAGGACGGGAACTCAGCCTTGCAGGCCAAGGCCTGGTGCCCAGCGAGGGTCCCAAGGCCAGCCTGTTTCTAGGGAGCCTGGGAGAGGGCTGAGGGAGGTGGGAAGCTTCTGGGCATCAGCAACTCAGCCTCCAAAGAACCCAAGCAGGGGGCCTTGGGGGGCCTAGCTACTGCTTGTGTCTCCTGCCAGGGAACAAGCCCGGAGCAACTTCCAGTCCGTGACCAGTCAGAGTTACTGTCCCCTGGAGGTGCCTGATGGCACGCAACCACTACCCTGGAACATGTACCAGACGACCTCTGCCTACGGGCGCGAGAAGCCCAACGCAGGCCTCCTCACCAAGGAGGTCAGTGCCCGGCCAAGGCCAGGAGGCGGCAGAGCTCCGAGCGGAGAGGCCCACAGGCTCGGGAGGCTGGGTGGGGGGTCCTTCCGGAGGGCAGGGACAGCATGACAAGACCTCATCCCGCCACTTCCCTCCTCCCACCCTGTGGGGATGCTCTCACCAGCCCCACCTCTGTCCTGATCATCACCAGCACCCCTCCACCTGTCCAAGCGCCCGCCACCACCCTCAGGGTCCACCATTGTCCTTATCACCCCAGATTGTTTGTGTCCAAAGTCACTTTATCATCGCTCATGTCACCACCATGACCACCTAGCACCTGAGCACTTATCCATTTGTCTACCAACCAATCTATCCCCATCATGGCTGTTGCACGTGTGCGTGTGCGTGTGCATGTGTGTGCGTGTGCGTGCTGCTGGGGATGGAGCGCAGGGCCTCCATGGTGCTAGGCCAGGCTCTGACCCTGAGCCCCACCCCCAGCCCTGAGCATCTTTTTTTCTATTTGAAGGTGATGAGAGCAGGGGGCAGCCAGCAGGGGAGAAGGGAGAAAGCAGGAGGGAAGGACTTGGGACAGCTGGGTCATAGACACTGGAAAGACTTGAGGGAGGCTGGTGCTTCTCCAGATGCAGCCATCTGAGGGAAGCATTCCAGGCAGTGACAACAGCAGGTGCAAAGGCCCTGTGGGCTGCTGTCAGGATGTGGGGCTCAGTGAGTGTGATAGCAACACTGCAGGCTCTGAGGGGAGGACGGACACTTGGCTGGTTATAAGGGGTCTTTCTGGCTGCCAGCAGGAACTCTGCAGGTGTCAGGGGCAGAATCAGGGTCAGGAAGTGTTGGCCCGCCCCTCACCTTCCCGGGAAGCTCACTGGTGTTCCCTCCTCCAGGTCAGGAAGGTCCATTTTGACACCCAGGATCATGGAGCCCAGTCCATCACAGGGCTGGAGCCCAAGGAGGTCCCCCTGCTCCACCAGCAGCAGGGCAGGGGCTCCCCGGATTGGGAGAACTCGCGATATGTGAGTGGACAGAGTGGACGGCCCTGCCTGGGCTGCGGGGCTGGGAGAGGAGTGCTGCTCTGGTCACCGTGGAGCTGGCCCCATGTGGGTCACCTGTGGGCTCAGGCGCCGAGAGACAAAGGA